AATGCATGAATGAATAAACAAAACATGGTCAATCCATACAATGGAATATCATTCAGCCATTAAAGGTTGGGGATGCGGGCTGGGATTGTATCTCAGTGGTAGCATGCTCGCCTAGCATGCATGAGGCACTGGGTTTGATCCTCAGCACCACATAAATGTAAAATAAAGATATTAAAAAAAAAAAAAAGGTTGGGGATACAACCCCAAATGTTTTAGATAAGTTAAGAATACATGCATAGCATGCAAAAGGTTCTGGGTTCCATCCCTACTACCAAAAAAAAGAATGGAAGCACTGATTCATGCTGCCACATGGATGAGCCTTGCATACATGCTGAGTGAAAGCACCCAGTCACAAAAGGTCTGCATTATTTGATTCCAGCCCATAATCCCAGTCACTCTGGAGGCTGAGGCAGGAGGAACACAAGTTCTAGGCCAGTCTGGGCAACTTAGCAAGACTATCTCAAAATGAAAAAATAAAAAGGATTAGGGATATAGCTTAGCGGACAGCAAGCAGTCCTCGGTTCCATCCCCAGCTCCGCAAAAAATCAATGTCAAGGCAAATCCATACAAAAAATCATGAGATTAGGAGCCACCGAGGGATGGAAGGAGAGGGGAACTGGGAGGTGCAGGGTTTATTTTTAAGGTCATGAAAGTGGCCTGGAAATAGTGGTGAAGGTTGTACAATATTGTGAATATACTAAAGTGAAATGTACCCTTGGAGATGGTGTGAGAATTTAGGGTTAGGCCATTGTTATTCAAATCACATGGTACCCCCTGTGCCCTACTTTTAATCTCCCTAGGGACTTCCCATCACACCAAGAGTCAAACTCAAATTCCATGCCGGGGCCTACAAGGCCCTAATGACTTAGCCCTGCAACTTCCACCACCTCTTCCATTGCTTGCCCCTCACTCATTCAGGTCCTCCATACACCTAGCATTTGCACTTGCTCATCTCTCAACCTATAATGTACTAGAATGTTCTTTCAGGGAGCTGGTGGTAGAGCGCTTGCCTACCAAGTGGGAGACCCTGGGATAAATCCCCAGAACTACCAAAAAAAGAAAAGACCTGGGGATGTGGCTCAGTGGTGGAGTGCTTGCCTAGCATTCAGGAGGCCCTGGGTTTGATGTCTAGACCTACCCACCCACCCCTGCAGGAAAAAAAAAAAAAAAAAAAAAAGCCTTAGAATGTTCTTTCCCATGGCTAATTCTTGCCAATCAGGTCTTGTTCAAATGCCCTCCCCAGACACTGAGAGGACCACCCTGACCACCCTGCCTAAAATAATGCCCCACCATGCTCCATCACATTAAGAGTGGCAACAGTTCTGATCACTATTAGAAAATATATGTAGTTTACTTCTTTATTGCCGGTTGCTATAACCAAAAGAGCAGGAACCATATCTGTCATATTCAAGACCACCGTGTCGGCAAGAAAACGTTATCTGGAAATAATGGATTTAATGGAAGACTTCCCTTAAGATCTGAAATGCCACCTGCTGCCCAATCCAGAGTTCAGAGCACCAAGTCCTCAGCCACACTCTGCAGGTGCTCAGGGAGTTAACAGGCATTTGCTGAGCACCGAGTGCCAAGCCCCACCCAAGGCTTGTCTAGAACCCTGAAGAAGCAGAGGACTAATCCCTCCCCTGGAAAGCCTGAAAGTCTTTAGGGGTCACAAAACAGTGTTTACCCAGTAACTCACAAACAAACACACAGTAGAGATCTAAGATTGCGTTGCTGACACCCAAGCTGGAGGCTAGGGTCCAAATCAGCCTCATAAACGCATGTAATGGCAAACACACTCTGATCCAGGCCTTCTTAGGACTTTGCAATCTGACCTGTTCTCCACAATAAGACGGTTGCAGCTCACACCTGTCCCTGCCCCTTCCCAAGGGGACTTTCTTTTTAGAGGCAGTTAAAAGTTTAAATGGGCAGGTGATAGTGAAAGCCTCTCCCTTTTCCCTTCTCCTGTTCCTGTTCCTCAGCATCTCTGAGTCACACACACAGCCAGCAACTTACCCACTAGGAGTTTGACGTCTCGGACTGTGAAATCAGGATCAGGCATCCTAGAAAAAGAAGCACAGACATTGGTGAGGAGACAGAAACAACAGAGCCAGACTCTACCCTGCCCAGGGTGAAGCCATTTTTCCAAGTGGGGTCCTTGCTCTCTGTTTGGAATCCAAAATGAGATAACCTGGATAGAGGGCAGTAGATCAGGTAGTACCTCAAGGGAGGGTCACCCAGAACCATGGTGCCCCTTCCCCACCCCTAGAGGTACATCACACCTAAATCTCAGCCGGTACTGTGCCTGCCTATAATTCCAGTGACTTAGGAGGCTGAGGCAGGAAGATCACAGTTCAAAGCAAGCCTCAACAAATTAGCGAGACCTTAAACTACTTAGTGAGACTCTGCCTCAAAATAAAAAAGGGACAATAATGTTGCTCAGTGGTTAAGCACCCCTAGATTCAATCCCTAGTATCAAAAAACAAAAACATAACAACAACAAAAAAACTCTGAACCTCAGCAGAGAATGGGCGCATCTACCTGCCACCCCACCCTCACTTCTGCGGGAAAGACTCGATCGAGTGTGGTGTCAAGGGCCAAACACCAGCTTTCTTTCTAGGGACAGCCCTCTCTGTGTCTCTTTCTCCCTCTAAAAAAATACTCTCCACAGTTGTATGGAAAGTGGAAAGAACCTCTTTAAGTTCAGAGGGAAAAGAAGACAGACATTAGACCATTTCCAGGAATTTGATAACCCTGCTACAATGATTATGGGAACTGTTAACTAACAGAGATGCTGAAGGTTTACTTTCCACTCCTAGGAGCATGACTGGTGAACAAGTCCAGCTTCAGAGGCTGGAAAGGAGATGGCCTAGGATGACACCCTGAGCCTCCTCCTCTGTCCCTGCCCAAGGGGCAGAAACCTGTTCTTCCAGCCTGGCTCTGATCTCTCCCCCACCTGGAGCTCTGGTAGATCTCAGCCAGAATATAAACCAGACACAGTGGCAGGCAAAGAAAGGGGAGACGCTGGTGCCCAGGGAAATATACCCTCCATGGAAGGGAGCCATCTCCCATACACTAGCTAACACAGCTCAGGGTCTGCCAGTTTCTTGGTTCAGAGTTGAGGAGCAGGACAGGTACGATTCTCAGTAAGAGGTTGCAATGCGAAGCCAGATGGATCAGGGCAGAAGTCCTCACTGTTCAAGTACCCTAAGTCCTCTCTGCCCAAATTCCTAAAAAAAGACCAATCTTTAGAGAGCTTTCCCCTTGGTCAGGGCTTGAACAAGGAGCCGCTATTCCCAGATCATGAAATGAGCGGCGGGAAGAGGGTAGAAGAAATCCACCCAAGCTAGAAATTGAGTTAGGGAGGAAGACAGGGGAGAGGCAATTAGTGTCAGCAACTTACTTAATTCCTAGTCCGTCCTTTTCTCGAAATATCAGGGGAACCCTGAGAGCTTCTCTCTGTACGTACTCATAGTTGAAATCTGTTTGGATATTTGAATTAAAACAAGTTGGTTAAGTTATTCAGGAGCAAATGAACCACGAGCCATTGGTGAGGGGAAGAAAAAATGGCAAAGGAAGGGAACGATCGGGTGCTAGAGGGAGGCCTGACCTCAGTGGCAGAAGCTCCCTGGAAAATGACAGGGAAATGGCAGGGCCTAATCCGAGAGAAGCCATGCCAGCCATCGCTCCTTTGCCTACTCAGTCATTCTCTGCATGCCCCACGGGTCCGAACTTGTCAATGAACAGCCCAAGGCTAGCCAGGGTTGAGGAGGAGACTTATAAAGAGTCCCACACTGAAAGAGACCCAGCTAGTGCTGAGAAAGGGGGACAGACGGGAAAACGCATCCCTGGCTGAGCTCAGAGAGTAAAGGGACTGCAGAACTGAAGAATGCCACCTGGGAGGATCTGAAGCCCCAGAGAGGAGGCTGGGAGGAGGGCTCTCATTGTAGCTGAGCATCAGTGAAAATCTTATTGTAATATCCTGCATCGTGAAGGGGAGGGGGGGAAGCCGGTTTCCCTGGAAACTGTGTATTTGGTGCCAAAATAACTAGGGAACTGGGCACAGCTTTGTTGTCTTCATAGTGAAATTCTGTCGGAGCCATCACACCGCTTGCTTCCACTGGATCACCAAGAAGGATGCTCTCCAGGTAGGCTGCACAGAGCAGGCACAGCAAGGCCCAAGAAAAATCCACTGGGTAATTTCCTAACTGGGATATGTCTGGTAGAGACCCCCCAAATCTTTATCCAAAGCCCTGGAGCATGAAGGGAGCCTTCGATTAATTTCTTTCCTTCCTCAATTCTCCCCAAAAATCAATGAATCTGACCCAAACACAGCCCTAAATATGGAGGTAAGGGGAGCTAATATCAAACCCTCCCAAAGTCCAAATCACGTCCCCCAAGTCCTCAGGTGACTAAAGTATCCCACAAGGCTTCAAGGCCTCTCTGGCTGGTCTGAAGTGAGAGAAGAGTCCCGGGGCCACTGAAGGCTGCGGGGGGCCCCTGGCGAACAGTTCACTAGGGCCTTGGGGGAGGAGGCCAAAGCTACTGGCTCAGAAAAGAGAACAAAACCATTGCCGGGAAAGCCCTGACCTCAGTGGCTCAGATCCCCAGGGGCTCACAGTGAATGGGGATTCCTAAGGATTTAAAGGAAGGGAAGTTTAAGAAGCTTCTATTTTTGAATCCAGGCGAAGGGCTCCTTCTGTTTCTCAGCTCCTCCCTCAAGTTTTGGGACTAGATCTGAATTAACTAGTGAAACCCGGTCCTTTGAAAGGAGCCAGGACAGCAAATTTAAGGATGCCATTTAGAGCCCCTGGCTGGTAACCTTCCCTGCCAACACACCCAAAGCCCCGCTCTACCCCACTCCCAGCTTCAACTTCCTCAAATGAGCCTGAGAAAAAGTGCTGAAACCCTAGGCTGAGGATTCCTGACAAATGACTAGGAAAAGTTTACATACTGTTTTCTCATAGACTCTGCCAAATGACTCCATAAAATGAGGGGAAGAAAGGAGAGAAATTAAAATCCCATTTATGTGGAGAAAATTCACATGCAGTTAGGACTGGCACCCTGCTCTAGGACCAAACAGGCTAGAAAAAATATCCTCCCTCCCTCCCCACATTTCTTCCCAACACCACCAGAGCCCAGGGGGGCAACAAGCACAAAAGAGAAACTTCAAAAATGCAAAGCCAGAAAGATCTCTCCTCCAGGCCAACTCAAGGCCTAGCCACTCATCCAGAACCCACAGGGAAGCACCTCCCGGCTGTCAGCTCCTGGAGAGGGAAGGGTTTCCAAGAAGGTGGGGAAATACAAAATGGAAACTGAGTAATTGAAAGGACACCCAAACAGCTGAGAGGAGAAGAAAAAAAAAAAAAATGAACACCATACCCCAGGAAGGCCTGGGGTGAGAAAGGGCATCTCCAAAACCCTTACCCCACAGGCCCTGTGGAAATCCAGGCTGCAGGGCTGGGTGGGTCATGGCTCCAAAAGCCTCAGACCCAAGCAGAAGCAACACCCCAAATCTGTCTGGAGGACACCCTGAGACACTCTTAGTAGGAAGGTCAGGGAGAAAGGCAGGCCTTACTAGATCTCAGGCTAGGCTGTACTCTGGCACCCTGAGCTTCCCCAACTTCTGCTCCAACGGGGGAGAGTTCACAGGAGACAGACAAGCCTCAGGCATGGGAAGAGACCCTATTTCCCCTAGAAATGCCCCAAGACTTTACCAGGGAACAGGAATCTCTCAGCCTTAAGCCTGAGGGGAAGTCACCCATATCCCCTACTCCAGCTTCAAACTGTCAACGCTGCAGGCCTCAAGCTTAGGTGGCAATTCAGACCATCAACCCTGAGTGCACCTCCCCAGGCCTATAACGGGATGCGAGTTGCACTCCAGAGACCCCAAGCCTGAGGAGGTGTAACCCTAAGAACTCAAAATGTTCCATCACCAGCTCCTAACTAACAGAGCCCGAGATGACACCGGTTTAGGAGGCTTCGAGTCTGGGGGGCCTCACCCCGATGTCTCAGGAGGACCCCAAAATGGGGCTACTCCAGTCAGGCGACTGCACCTTGGGCAGCGCAAGAGCACAACCGGCTGAGGAGGTGGAGGACGGCTGAGGAGGTGGAGGACGCGGCGCTCAAGCCCTCCTTCGGTCCGACTGTCTCTTCCCAGGTCCCTCAGACCACCAGCCCTCTAGTTCTGCCCACCGTGGTGCTGGTGGCGAGCCCAAGCCAGGCCTAGGCCTGCGCCCGGCCCCCTTCCCGCCTGCCCTCCTCCCTCGCCACCCCACCCCACCCCCCCCAGTGCTCGGCCTCGTTTCGTCACCGGATCCCCTGGAATGGGGGATGCGGGCGCGAAATACGAACCCAGCCACCGGCAGCTCCCTCCCCACGTGCGCGCGGCCCGCGGTGCGGAGGACAGCCCGGGGAGGGGGCGCCTCACCTTTGCCCTCCATGGCATGCACGAAGTCCCCCTGGTACAGCTGGCTGCGCAGCTTCTCTTCCAGGCTGAATCCGCGGACGCTCACAATCTCCTCCACGTCCGACAAGTCTTCGTTCTCGTCGTATCTCTGGCGATCAATCGGGCGCTGCGAGGATCCAACCAGAGAGCCCGCGATATTATTGTGGGAACTGGGGGGTCGCCTTTTAACCCCGGGCCAACACGAACAGGTGCAGGAGTGCACGCCCCCTGTACCCCACCATTGCAATCTGAGCAACTTTGCGCAAATGCCAAAGATGATGAAAAGCAGGAAAAGGAGAGGGGCCCACACCCCCAGGGTCCTACTGCGCCCTACACGACGAAGCACTCTCCTCCTGCATCTTTGGAAGCCATGGAAAGGGTATCTAGGGGCTCTCCCACGTCCCCCATCCCTGTGATGTGCTGAGCTTTGCCCACTCAGCCGGGAGCCTGGTTATGTAACCCGCGAAGGGGGCTCCGGACACGGGCTGGCGGGGTAGATGTAGGCCCCGGGAGGAGCCGCTGCAGCTCCGGGCTCGGCGGTAACAGCCGCCCCGGCCTCCGTGGAGGCAGAGCCGGGAAGCCGGAACCGGGGCCGGCGGCGTTTCTAAGGCTGGAGCCGCTCCCGAGCTACCGGGGAAGCTGAAAAGCTGAAATGGAAGGGCTGAGACCCCAGCCGCCCCCGCCGATCGCCCGCCAGTACAAGAAGAGGAGGTGAGGGGAGGAGGTGAGGGGCTTGGGAGGGGGAGAGGCAGACGACCCGCCACAAAGCTCCCATCGGAGACCCCAAAACGCACCAGCAGCTGCCTCATCTCCCCACGAGCGCGCGCGCACACTCACTTCCTAAGGAGACTCCCCCACCACTCCCCGCATCCCCCTGCCTCCTCCCTCCACCGCCCAGCGCCCGGCGCGGCAGCCCCCCAGATTCCGGGCGAACCCCCAGCCCGCTTACCACCCCTTACGCCTTTCCAAGCTACCATCTCCCCACTTAAGTGTCTGAGACTCTGAGCCTCACAAGGGACTGGAGGAGTAAGCTGCTTGCTTCCTTTTGCATGCAATTTATTATTTTTTTCCGGTCCTCTTGTAAAATACAGAAAAGGAAAGAAAAGGCAGCAAGAAACAACCGAAAAAAAAATAGAGCTATCATATACCAGATACAGATTTGGAAAAAAAAAAAAAAAAGCTACACACCAATCTTCTTCCAGAGTCTTTCTCTGCCTCCATTTTTTTAGGAGAGTTCACCAATTAATTGTCAACACTCCTGCCCCCTGCATTTTGGCGGAGGGGGGAAGGAGGGAAGACCAAAGAAAACAAACCAAAAAATAAATAAATAAAGCAAGCCAGAGCCGAGATCTACAAAGTTTTGCACCAACACTTAGGCAGATCCGTTTGCAAAGTCCTAGGAAACCATTTTCAGCAGTTGTGGGGGGGGGAGGCGTCGACGTCATAATCCCCGGAACGTAAACATTGTTGCCGATCGCGCTCTGAGCCCGCGGCCGGGCTAGTTGGGGGGGCACTCGGCCTGGGATGGGGGGGCGGGGGCAGCGGCCCGAGGAGGTGTGGGACTGGGAGGGAGCCCGCGAGGCACCGGGCGCCGTTAGCGCCCTGGCATCGCTGTTTTGTTGTTGGGTCACGAGTGCGCCTCTGCACGCAGGCGCCGCCGCCGCCCGGGAGTTGTGTGCAGAGCTGACTTTTGGAGGGCTGAGTTGCAGGCGACTGGCGCATCCCGGAGATGGCGGGGCAGGGAGGGAGGGAAGGAGGAGGGGGTGGGGAGGGAGGTGCAGATTTGCACGGCTGGCCTCAGCGGGAGGCGCGGAAATGCAAGCCGAGCATGCTGGCGTGAAAGCCCCTGGGCCCTGGCACCCCCAAAACGACCCCCCACCTCAGTCCCTGCCCCCACTGCCCACGGCTGCCCTTCTTCCTTTTCTTTCATATACCCTACCCCACAACTTGCGTTGGCGACCCAAATTCAAAGCATTTGGTGCATATATATATATATATGCACCAAATATATGTGTGTGAGTGTATATATATATGTATATATATTTTTTTGCTATGTAACTGCATGTCTTTTTTGGGGGGAGGGGCAACCCTGTTCAGACCCCCATTTGCGAACCCGCCAAATGGAGGACGCATTTGATGGGCTCAGAAAAAAAATTAGTACAGCTCCATATCTGCATGGACTCAATACTTTTAAACTCTCGGACTGAAAGATAAGAACACACACACACACACACACTGGTACAGGAAATACAGCCAGACCGGAGCCTTTTCAGACCGCAGGTGACCGGAAGACGTTGCCTTTCATTCATTCATTCTGCTCGCCTCCGTGGAGTTCTTCACTAGCCTACGATCCCTGAAAGAGAAGTTGGACTTTTTTTTTTTTTTTAAAGGTCCTTGTGCCCGCCCAGTGGAGAAAATTGATGCTCTGGAAGGATATACTCAGAGAATCGGATCTAGCGTCTCCTAACGCAGCTCGCAAACAAGCAAAAGGTAAGCCCTGGTTGGTTGTTGATAGGAGAAGAGTTGTGGAAAGGCATGTGGCTCTTGGGATGGGATACGAAAACCTTAAGCGCACCTGGACTGATTTTATATGACTTTAGCGGAGATTTGGCCACCCTCTAAGCATATATAGAATGTCATTAGGTCCGGGAGTTCTCCCATGTCCCCCTTCCCAGTGCTTGTGACAACCTCCAGAGTTGTCCTGTAATTCATCATGAACCCGGAGAAACGCTTTACTCCAGACCAACTCTTGTGTCCTGCAAGGCCTGGTCTTAGGGGTTAAATCTCCTGGTAAGATGACATGGCACCGGGACTACAATAAGGGAGATAGTAGGTGCTCACAGCTGGTGTCCACGTGCTGTTTTATTTCTGCCCCTAATCCTGTGAGCTAGTTGAAGCAGGTCATTTTGCAAATTGGGAAACTGAGGCTCAGAGAAATTATGAAACTGGGTGACTACTCAGCCTTCAGTCATTCCCATGTAACAAGCCATTAGACCTGGGGAAGAAATGCGTCCCTCACTCACCTTAATTCACTGTCATTTCATTCTTGTAGTTTTTGGGTTTTTTTCATGTGACCCCAAAGACTAATCTTTAAAGTTTGTTTTACTCTGGTTCACTAGCTGTAAAAATCTTTTAAAGTAGGTATGAAGCTAGCAAACATCAAACTTTTGTCTCCAAACTGAAATGGCCTATATTGGTTCTGCTACATCCAATCGACAGCCCTTTGTATGTGGCCGGCTCTTTAGCCCTCTATCAAGAAGTGGGACTATTTTATTTGCTTCTGTCTTGAGAAAGAGAGAACCCTTTCAGGGAAACCATCTCGAAATTCCCTATTTTGCAAATGATGAAACTGGGACTCAGGAAGGCAAAGCCACTTTTACCCAAGATCATACAGTTTTCCTGTGGGCTATTGGGGTTCCAATTGGAACCTGGCTTATCTATCACATGCCTTTTCCGATATTAACCAGGGTCACTGCTCCCACATAATGAAAAAACAAAAACCAAAACACTCAAAGGAGGGCTTCTGGGCTGGAGGGTGGTGAGAAGTGGATTAAGTGAAATAAAACAAAATTGGCAAGTAGGACGCAGGATCTTCATCCTTCACCTTTTTTCCCTGGGATTCCTCTCTCCTCATGTGGCTTCCTGGTGTCCCCCCAAAAGCTGGCACTAGGAAAATGATCGAGGGCAGCCACCTTAGTGTGAAAACAGTTAAGCCTATATATCACCTCTATGGGGAGTTCCTGGCTTGTCAGAGCAGGAAGGGGTTGACTAGTCACCTAATTTAATCCCCTCCCTTTACAAACCTCGAGGAAACCGCAAACCCCAGAGAAGAATGGGCCAGCCAGGGGCTTGTTCCCCTTTGACTCCCCCAGAATGCCTATCCTGCTGCTGGGCCCTAAGTGGTCACTCCATAAATGTTGGGCCCTTGATGGATCACCTTCCCCAGCATATTTGCATTTTCTCTTTATCAGTAATTGGCAGATGAAAGGCTTTGTCCTCCTGTTGAAAGAATTCCAAGCATTTGCTGAAAGTGGGGGAGGAGGTTATTTTGGGCCAAAGGGGGAAGGGCCAAGACCCTTGAGCTCCAGCTTGGCTGATTGTCCCTGAGGAGCTGAGAGTAGGTGAGGGAGGGCACAGAAGCTGAAGGTGCTTATTTAAAAGATGAACTTTTTAAATTGCATTGGAAATTAAATAATAATGACTTTCCTGGACTCTCCGGGAGTGTTCTTGCAACAGCAGTCAAATCCTGCCTATTATCCCCATTCATTCATTTCTTCCATCCTCAAAGGTTGATGATGCAGCTCTGTGCCCAAAGACTGAGAAGACAGAAAGACAAAAGAAGAAACAGCTGCACTTCCAGGCATACTCCAGGCAGGGGCTGGAGAAGGACTAACAACTTCCCAAGGAAGAGGCTGACTCTGGATGGAGCCCTGAGAAATCAGAATCCAGGATTTGGGCCTATTAAGACACTGAAGCTTCTGACTTTTGAGAATTTAATATGCCTTCAAGCAAAGTCCCTCATATCTGCTATCTCTTTGAATGCTTGCCAAAACTCTTAAGGAGGAGCAATGGTATAATTCCTTACTTCTATAGCTGAGGCTCAAAGAATTGTCAATTACTTGGCCAAATTTTACAGCTGTGAAATAACCATAAAGGATTTTAACCCAGATCTTGTTGGAATCCAGAGCCCAAAGACTGACCACTCTGTAAGCCCCTTGCAGGGCTGTGCCATACAACCAGATAATGGAAATATTGTACATTTGCAATTGTTTTCTCTAGCCACATCTGGCTATTGAGCCCCTGAAATATGGATACTGGGCTTAAGGAATTAAAATATTTATTTTTTGGTACTGGGAATTTAACAAAGGAGCACTTTATCACTAAGCTACATCCCCAACCCTTTTTCATTTTTATTTTGCGATGGAGTCTCACTAAGTTGCTGAGGCCAGCCTCCCTAGTCACTGGGATTTGTACCACTGCACCTGTCAAGGAATTGAATTTTAAATTGTGCATGTGTATGTGATGTGTGCATGTTTTGAGGGTTGAACCCAGGGCCTCAGGCATGCTGATCGCTGCTCCACCATTGATCTACACTTGCAGTCCAATTTTTAATTAAAAAATAAAACTGCCCCAGAGTGTTTTCCAACATTTGTCTAAATGTGCTTACTAAGCTGTATATACACATCAAGGTCTGATTTGGCCTCCGGGAAACATTTGTGGAATGAGTGAAAGGTCCATACGGGAAAGAAGTTACTAATATCAGTAACCCCTGGAAGAGGACAACTGGTATAATGTGAGTGCCTATAATGTTAGCCTTTAAACCACTTACTCTGAGAGCCTGCCAGGAACATGGTACTGTATGGGAGCCTGGGGATACAAGTGGATATTAGACTGGCCCACCTCCCCAAATCTGGCCAACTCTCAAGGACAAATAATTGGTGATGAAGCAGGAATTCTAAGACCTGGGTAGCCACTTCCAGACATACATTCCAGGGACAGACCAGGCCTGGTGATTCACACCTGTAATCCCAGCTGCTCAGAGGCTGAGGCAGGAGGATCACACATTCTAGGCCAGCCTCTATAACTTAGTGAGACTCCATCTCAAAAAAAAAAAAGAAGGTAGGGCTTGGAATGTAGCTCAGTAGTAGAGCACATACCTAGTGTGCCCAGGGCTCTATTCCCATCACTAAAATAACAATAATAATAATCAGCAAGATAATTATTATATGTGTAGAATTTCCTTTGGAAAGACCAAAAAAAAAAAAAAGGTTGGGGAGTGCCGGTAGAACTGGAGAAAAATTAAAAGGAACTATTCTTTAGTAGAATGTCAGATTTTACCACATGTATATATGGCTGTTGCCTGATTTTGAACCATACAAATTCAAGTGTTATTTTTTTCACCAGTACTGGGGATTGAAGCCAGGGGCACCCTACCACTGAACTACCTCCATTTTCATTTTTTTTTTTAATCTTTGAGACAGGGTTTGGATAAGTTGCCGAGGCTGATCTGGAACTTGAGATACTTCTCTGCGTCAGCATCCTGAGATGCAGGTGTATGCCACCTTGCCCAGCCCTTTCACTACTTTTTTTTTTTTCTTTGTGGGGGGCAGTTTAATGGGAAATGAATCCCCCAAGGGCATTCTGCCACTGAGCTAAACCCCGACCCAGTCCCTTTTATTTTATTTATTTTAGTTGTAGATAGACACAGTACCTTTATTTATTCATTTTTATGTGGTGGTGAGGATCAAATCCAGTGCCTTACATGTTCTAGGCAAGCACTCCACCACTGAGCCACAACCCCAGCACCCCTCCCCTTTTATTTTTTATTTTGAGACAGGGTCTCTCAGTTGCTGAAGGTTTAGCTAAATTACCCAGGCTTGGAACTTTCAATTCTTCTGCCTTGGCTCCCTCAAATTATAGGGTGCGCCATCACACCTGCTTGAGTTAATTTCACTTTATATGTTGTAGTGCCTTTTGAATTTCATATTTTTTTTTTAGTGTTGCCTGCCTACTCAAAAATGAATTCTAGGAATAGCTTAGAGGTAAAGCACTTGCCTAGAATGCATAAGGCCCTGGGTTCAATCCCAGCATCTCAATAAAAAGAAAAAAAGATGTAGAAAATAAAAAGCATTGCCAAATCTTAAAAGAGTTTTGTCCCATTTTATAAGACTTTTATTAACTTTATCCTAGGGAGACAACAGATGGTGACATTTCTGTTAAAATTTCTGTTAAAGTGATTGTTCTCAAAGAACTTTTTTGTTAGTTTGTTGTTGGGTTGGTTGCTTTCTTTCTTTTTTTTCTTTTTAATTTGTTCCTTTTGTATTAAAGTGCAAAAGTAAGAAAGAACAAATTAGGGGCTGGGATTGTGGTTCAGTGGTAGAGCACTTGCCTAGCATGTGTGAGGCACTGGGTTCCATCCTCAGCACCACATAAAAATAAATAAATAAAGGTACTGTGTCCATCTACAACTTAAAAAAAAAAAGGAGAGAAAAAGAAAAGGGGAAAAAAATTATATGCAGAGACCAATCTTCAGGCCTTAACTATTTTGGGAAGTTTGATTTTCTATTTATAATTCAGCATTTCATATTCTCTCTCTTCCTATGTGAGGATTGGAAAGAACTTTGGAAATAACAGGTGAGTTAATTAAAGGGTTAATGCCAGGAAGCGAGTCATAAAAGTTCAAAGATTCTTTTATAAACTTACATCTTTGGATTGATGAACAAGTGCGAGAGCCAATGGAAATAAAAATCCAGGCATTACTTCATCGTGCTCAACTGTCATTGGCTGACAATCCCCGAGAGATGGACCAAAGGGCTGGCAGTTAACCCTTTCAGGGTGGAGCTTGCCCTCTGCATTCATTTAATTTCAAAGATGAAGCAGGGACAGAAGAAAAGTCTAGAAGAGTCCTCAGATCCTCAAGTGCCAAGTTTGGATCTAACCTCAGAAGGCAGACTTTACGTAGCAAAGAAATACTCAGGGACAAATTTTCTGGAGAAAAAGTTTTGAACTTTTCAAATGGGGAAATGAGCTGACCTTGCCCAGTGGGAGGAGAGGGGAGGAGAGAAGTTTGATGCACCTTTTGTGCTGTCAGAACAGAGACCTAGGTTGGAGACGATTCCATTAATCTTACAAAGTGATCAGTCACTGAGAGGATTGAATTGCATTTCCTGCCCAAAGATGTAGAGACAGATGACCTTTGCCGCAGCCCTCAGACCCCCAGCTCACAGCTGGAGAGAGGATGTGTCAGCATCTACTTTCGGGTCTCACCCTGCCCTTTGTTCAAAATTCAAGCCCTTTGTGTTGGAGCTGCTCAGGGGTTTTGGTCGTTGTTGATGCTGCTGATTTTTTTAACCGCCCACATCTTGAGACTTCTGAGAAGCGAACTCTCTATTTGGCAGAAGATAATATCTGGAGGTGCCCCAAAGACAGAACCGGAACAGACATGGGGAATTTTGAGAAGCCATTGGACCTTTTGGCTTTAATTACTGCCCTTTCCTGGACTCCCTGAGTGCTGCAGGATGATCCAATGGAACCAGGAGTCCAGCAGAACTAATCATGCCTCAGGTTTAGACGGTTCTGTTAAAAAAAGCTTCGAGTACATTACCCCCACATAAGAGGCATTGCTAAAACAAAAGCATTTGCATAAAGAAAACATTCTAAATTCCCCAACAGTGAGCTACCAGACTTTGAACAAAAATGCTTAAACTGAGTCTCAGTTTCCTGTCTGTGAAATTGGGGTGGTGATAATGCAATGGCTTGGGGATTGTCTTCATTCACATGAAGAGGACCACCTGGCTTCCATGACCCTGACAAGGAGCTTAACCCTAACAGGTTAGCTGTCCCCAAGTAGAAGGCTGAGGGGGAAGGCTGCCTGAGAGGGATGGCAGAGCCCTGACTCCCCAGCAGGGCTCCTTCCAAACCTGAACATGCTGTGCTATGGATTTGGATTAAATGTGCTCCTTTTTCCACCTTTAGGGCTTTGCACATGCTAATCCTGTCCCCCACTCTATCCTACCCTCCAAACCAATGGCTTCTCCTGGAATCTGCTTAGATAGAGCCTCTTTTCCTTCCCCCTCCTAACACTGATCACATTACTGGCTTTGCTAGATATCCTGGGGGTTGAGGGGGAGGCAATTCCAGAACCCCCCCGCGGATTCCCAAACTCAAGGATGCTCATATCTGTTTTATAAAATGGCATAGCATAGAGCCAGGCTCTGTGGAGCACACCTGTAATCCCAGCGGCTAGGCTGAGACAGGAGGATCATCAACAGTGAGGCGCTAAGCAACTCAGTGAGACTGTCTCTAAATAAAATATAAAAAAGGGCTGGGATGTGGCTTAGTGGCTGAGTGAGTGTCCTCTGAGTTCAATCTCTGGTACCCCTTAAAAATAAAATGGCACATGGTTAACATAACCTACCCACATCATCCCATCCTCTCCTAGCCTTTAAATCATCTTGAATACTTAATAACTAATACTTAATAGTTGTTAACTAATATTTGCATTGTTTAGGGAATAATGACAAGGGGGGAGAGTAGGGAAAGGAAACTGCAGAAGTCTCCAGATGAAGTTTTTTTTTAATAACTATTTTTAGTTGTAAATGGATACAATATCTTTATTTTGCTTGCTTATTTATTTATTTATTTATTTTAAGAGAGAGAGAATTTTTAATATTTATTTTTTAGTTCTCGGCAGACACAACATCTTTGTTGGTATGTGGTGCTGAGGATCGAACCCCGGCCGCACGCATGCCAGGTAAGCGCGCTACCGCTTGAGCCACATCTCCAGCCCACTTATTTATTTTTTATTTTAATGTAGCACTGGGGATGGAACCCAGTGCCTCACATGTGCTAGGCAGGCACTCTACCACTGAACCACAACTCCAGCCCCAGATGGAGATTTTTGTGATGTTTCTAGGGATGGGGATATAGGACAGTGGTGGGGGATGTGGGGGGTCCTGGGTTCTATCCCCAGAACCACTAAAAAAAAAAAAAATTCCATCCTCAGATGCTGAACCTGCATATAGGGAGAGCTGACTGTATATACAGACGTATATTCTCATCTGTGTTCTCACTAAACAGGGATCTCTGGGAGGGCAGGGACTCCACCTTCCCTTTCTCTGCATCTTCTACATCACACAACATCACTGTGTACTTACTCTAAAAACCCTTGTTGAGGGGCTGGGGCTGTGGCTCAAGCGGTAGCGCGCTCGCCTGGCATGCGTGCGGCCCGGGTTCGATCCTCCAGCACCACATACAAACAAAGATGTTGTGTCCACCAATAACTAATAAATAAATATTTAAAAAAAAATAAAAAATAAAAAAAATAAAAACCCTTGTTGAATGGTGGCCC